GGAGGAGGAGGAAGAAGAAAGGAGAGGAGGAGGAGGAGGAAAAGGAGGAGGAGGAGGAGGAGGAGGAGGAGGAGAGCGCAGTTGGAAGCCATGGCGGTCCAGCCAACTGTGCCTGAACGTTCTCCCCCCCAGGATGCCGACGGCGATGCTTCCCTCCTCCTCCTCCTCCTCCTCCTCCTCCTCCTCCTCCTCCTCCTCCTCCTCCTCCTCCTCCTCCTCCTCCTCCTCCTCCTCCTCCTCCTCCTCCTCCTCCTCCCCCTCGGTGTCTGCCCTCGGCCGCAGCAGTTGCCGTCTTCGGTACCGCGCACGTGTTGGACGACACGGGCGCACGGTGCTCCTCTAGCTTCTCCTCCCCTTTCCCAAGCCGCCAAGTCCCAGTGGCTTAAGCCCGTGTGTGAGATTCCCTGCCCTCTCAATGACTTGCTGTCACGTCCTCCAGAGGAGAGTGAGGCCCACGTCGGCGGGGGGTGGGTCCGTAGGTCTCACGCTGTGGTGTTTTCCAAGGCTGTGCGCGCATGGATTTGAAAAGACTGCGTGGCCTACGTTAAGGACCAGCTCCGGTCCCTGGCAGTCCAGTGTCGTCCCGATTCGATCACCCGCACACGCCGCGTGTGCATCGAACGTTTTTTTCGAGGTCTCCTACCGAGGGCTCTTGGCTCGACGTGAGGTCCTCTTTGTCGTTGCTTCGCAGCTGTTCTGATTCCCGACTTCTGATTCCCACCTGCACGAAGTCTGCAGGGCATCGATATCCAGCGCGGAGCGTGAACCTTGAGCAGATGTCCGCGACGAGTTATTTTAGGCATTTCCGTCAGTCGAGTGCGGCGCCCGCCAGCGGCAATTGAAGGTGCCGCGCGTGCTCGACCTGGTGGGCGAGCGCTGTGCTGTCGCCGCCTATGGCAGCGTGGGCTGCCGCGCCGAAGTTGGCGGCGCGGATCCAGTGAGCTCCAGGATGCCAGACTGCGGTATGCTGGTGTTTCCCAAGCGAGCATCCACATGGTCATCGTGGACATAAGCCTTTGGTATTCGGGGGGCTCACATTTGCCTGCTGGCTCAGGGTGTTCTTGTTGGCATTCCGCTTTGAAGGTCGTTGTTGTGGTCCCCTGTAACACAGCATCTGCCTAGGATTGGTTCCCATGCGTCGATCGCGAGCCTCATCATGGCACGGGTGTCCGCGAGGATTCGGTTTGGCTCCGTCTGGACCCGGGCGTTGCCGTCGTCGTTGTCGCTGTCGGTGGCAGGATCGTTGGGTGTAGTGGTGGAGCCGGTATCCTGCGCCGGCTCATCCTCCCGCGCGGGTCTTCCGTCGGCGCCCAGTTGCAAGTGTGGCGGCCATTTGCGGGGGGGGGGCGAAGATCAAAGGTGCCCCGCTGGTCTTTGGCTCCACCGCCGCCGTTAGCCCGCATGCTTCTTTTCCATTCCGTTGATGCAATGGACTTCGTCCGTGAGCGAGTTGCGTCTCGACTGGGCAGCAGTGGAAGCAATGGGGTCTCCAAGCTGCAGGTCATTCAGAACTCCCTCACGGCCCCAGTACGTACGAGGGAACTCGATAATGCTGGTGGGTCGGAACCCTTCGGGGAGCACGTTTGCAGCGACCCAGGCGCGTTCGATGTTGCCCCAGGGGGCGGGTTGGTGCCGCGGTCGTCCGCGCGCTGGCGGTGAGCCAGCAGGTCCTTGCTCATGGATCCGTGTTCCTTGGGGAGCTCGTCCAGGTTATTTGTAGTTCGGTTGTTGACCCCCTGCTCTGGGCTAACCAGCGGGGCCGCGTAGCAGTCTCGAACGACAGGTTTTTTGCCATGCCTGTCGGCTGGCTTGTTTAACTTCTGCGACGGGCTTCTGGTGCGGAAACCGTTGTGATATTCGTGTGCCGTTTGATGGGCGAGTTATCGACGCCGTCGGCACAGTCGGCCGCGTCAATTTGAACGCGGCAGACTTGCTCAATGGAACCACCAAGAACCAAGGTTGCGTTGCTCATCACTGCCTATGGCTGGATAGGCGAGTGGGTAAGCTATGGCCGCCTCAAGTCTTCTCGCCGATTGTCTGGCGACGGCCAGGTTGATAGAGACTAGCGCGGGTGTGGAGATCGCGGAGCAGGACGAAGTTGGTTACGAGTTGTCTGCCGATGGCGCTAGTGAGCGCGTAGTCTATTCGGGGCCTCCCCGCCTGGTGTTCTTCGGTCTCCGTCAAGGTCTCGGCCGCAGGTGCAAGACTTTTCACTTGGGTATCCGACGGCGACGCTTGACGACCCCAGTTTGCAGATCTGGGCAAGGATAGTCGAGTATCTGATGTCGTTTTGGACGTTCGGGCAGAGGATGTGCGGCGCATCCACAAACCTGTTCGCGGCTTTCCAGACCGTGTGGATGAGCGCGGCGTCGCGTGCTCCCGATTAGCGTACACCGATGCCGCGAAAATGCTTTCAATTCCCACATAGGACCGTAGACAAATTAGCGGCGGCGGCCAGAGGGAGGAGGAGAACAGCGACACGACGACAGTGGCAGCCCACACGGCGGCAGTGGCGGCGGTCGACACGACGAGGAGATGCGTCGCCGCCGCCGTCGTCGTCGCCAGGCACGGGGCCGCCGCGTATGTACCTCAGCATGTAGCCCGCGCTCCCAACGTCGGGGTCGAAATCAATGCCATGAGACTTGAAACGGGGTTCGGTTTCGGGTTCTTCGGCGTCAGGCGTTTCCAGGTTGACCTGGGACCTGGGCTAGCCCTTTGTACCCACGGTCTTAGTGGACCTGCGGTTTGCAAGGAGCGCTTTGTACGGTAGTCTGAGGTCCTTGTAGACCGTCGGGTTGGCTGCTTGCGCCCGGATACATATATATATATAGAGAGAGAGAGAGAGAAAGAGAGAGAGAGAGAGAGACACAGAGGGAGCGAGAGAGAGGAAGAGAGAGAGAGAGAGAGAAACAATTCTATACATACACATATATGTATAAGAGAGAGAGAGAGAGAGAGAGACAGACAGAGACAGAGAAAGAGGATGAGGATGAGGAAGAGGGAACAAGAGAGAGAGATAGGGGGGACAACACAGACAGTGGGGGAACGGCGACGACGAGGCCCAGGAGGTGCTGGGAGCAGATGGGAAGGTCGTGACGGGTGCTGGGCTGGAGGAGGAGCGGGAGGAGGCAGAGGACGAGGAAGGGGAGGAAAAGAGCGGTTGGGCTTGAACCGAGGAGTTCGGCACGCCCGAGAACGGGCAGCTGTTCTGCGTGGACTACAGCCCCGACGGCGGCGCCCGCCCCTGCCGCTGGCCCACGAGCCGTCTGCCCGCCGCGTGGCACGCCATTCCTGGTCAGGTTTGTCTCTCGGGGGCGACGCCCGGGGGGGGGGACGCATCGACCCCCAATCGCCCAGTCATCGCCGAGAGGGGTCTGAATGCCCACCCCCCGCCCATGAGCGTGCGGATTCGCAGGCGGGGGCCGATCGCCGATCTATCGGCGACGCATCGCCGACTCCAGCTCGCCATTCCCCCCTGAGCCTGTCCCCCCTAACAATGCCCCCTGATTAGTCCGATTACTAGCATTATCAGTACTCTCATAGTCATCCTCTTCTTATACGTTTGAGTATTATGATTATGTTTACGGATATTATCATCAGTATTATTACCATTGTTATTATTTTGATGTTTCGTATTATGCTTTGTTTCGTCGCGCCCTTGGTGCTAGTCACGCCGCAGTGAGGCTCAGTGTGGTCGCGCTCTCCTTTTCCCTCCTGCTTCTGGGAAAAACACCCTCCTCCCATCCGGCACATTCATGGGCGCCGTACGCACCGTGCCTCTCTCCAGAGCCCGCCTGGCCTCTCCTCCGTGGGCTTGCCCTGCTCACTTCCTTCGTCCCCGTCGGCGCCCCTCCGCAGAACTCCTCCGCTCCTGTCGTTGTCCCCTTTCACTGTCCTCGGGGGGCCGATTTATGGCCACCGCCCTCGCGCGTGTACCTTGTGCTGGGCTGGGCCAGCTCACTTGGGCGGGTGGTGGCAGAACTCGTGTCTCCAGGGGACGCCATTTTCTTACACAGCGCCCGCTCCACGGTCTTGTGCCCGACCAATTTGTCTGTGTGGGCGGTGTGCAAAAATCGTGTCCTCATCTCCCAGTCCATGTCTCTTTTACCCCCCTTCCTGCTCTGTCTTCTCGCACGGGTTCGACGACTGGGCGTCCTGCTGGCCAGTCGCGTTTCCATCGGGTGGCGATCCGCTGCGCGTTCCGACCGCGTGCCCCCTCCCTGCGACTGCCCAAAGATGGCACCTGGTCAGTGCTGCTGCTGGGGGAGGGTTGGCGGCATGGAAGCCTCTTCATCTTGGCGGCCGCCTCTCACGCACGCCTGTTGTCAGCCAGTTGCTTCTCAATCTCAGGTGAAGCTCCGAAGCGATGAGACCCTGTGCTGAAAATTACGGCTGTTGTTTGCTGGCGGGATGGGGCCTCGTTCGCATGGGCCGTCGAGTTCCGCCGAAGCGCGGGTAGCGCCATGTACAGCCTCGCTGCAGAACGCGACAGTGGGAGCTGGGGACCTGGACGGGGCAGGGGACGGTGCAGGAGCCGGCGGCCCCCCCCGGAGAGGACACACCCACTGTTGATCCAGGTCGCACGCTCAGACAGCTGCTCCTCAACGGAATTCGGCCACAGTGGTGGAGTGCTCAGATCGGCGTCTTTCCTGGCCGCCGAAGGCTTCCGACAGGGTCCATGGAGGGCCCCAGGACGGCCCGTGAGGGCCTCGACGGGATCCCAAGACAGCCCGGGAGAGTCGCCGGAGTCTCCCCGAGAGGGTTCTCCCGAGGCCCCCCTGGCGGCCCGGCGGGGCTATCTCTGAGCGGCAAGAGGCTGCAGGAGTGATCGAGGAGGCCTCCAGTTCCTCTCAAAGAGCCCCTCAGAGGGGGGCCGCATCCTCCAGATCGGCAGTGACCCCTATAAGCGGGTCGGGGTCACTGCCGATCTCGAGGATGTGGCCCCCCTCTGAGGGGCTCTTTGGCCGTGGATGTCAAAAAAAAGGTCTCCAGTTCCGCAGCCGTGTTGGCTCAGGCTCCGTGGGGGCCAGCAGCAGCCCGCTCTGCGGGCCCTGCAGCGGGCAGTTGCCGGACCAAGCTGTAATCTGTCACCCGCGTGCGGTGTTATGGGCCAGGTGGCGAGTCCAGATACAGGGATGTGCACGGGGGCGCGGAAAGCCGATTCTGAGATTCCCGATTTCCTGAACGGAAGCTTCCAGCCGAACGATTGGGCGGCCCTGTTTCAGGCGATGGAGGACATGCACTGCCGGATGGAGCAGCAGAGCCAGGACAACCTCGAGCAAAAGTTGACCATCCAGAATCTGCGTTCCGAAATCGGCCGCCTTCGGCGCAGCATCGCTGAGCGGGACTGCGAGGTGGACTGGGCCCGCGTGGACGCGCTGGAGCTGCACTACCGCGAGGTCGAGCGGGCCCGCTGCCGCACTCCGGAGCGGGCGCGGGGAGCCCCCGACCTGGGCAAGTTTGTCGCCTCCGAGCTGTTCCAGTGCGAGGACACCGACGCCGCAGAGCACCCGACGCCGGGCCCCAGGCCGGCCGTGTTCGAGGCGTTCCTCACGCCTCCCCCCTCGGCTCGCACCCTCGAGCAGCAGGGTTGACGGCGGTCGGGGCGCCGCAGCGTCTCTGCTTTTTGTGCGCCACTGACGAACTGAGCCGGCCACGCGCAGAGGGTGGTCGGGGGAGGGTGGGAAGGCTTCTCAGAGACACCCCTGCTTCTGGGAAGACGCGGGCCTTATCTCTGCGGATGTGGGGCCGGCGCCTTCTAAGAGACAGTTTCCTTCTAAGGCGTCTCCCCCTTCCCTCCACCCCAGTGCGCGCCGCCAATTGGGAAGCCTGTAAAGCAGCATAGTGAATGTGTGTGTGTGTGTGCGTGCGTGTCTGTGTGTGTGTTTGTGCCTGATGTAGCCTCACTGATTATGTTGGATCCATCGTTGGCTGACTACGTATGGATGGGCCGGGCGGCTTGTCAGAGCCCCGAATCATCAGGGGTAACTCGGGTCAGAGCTAATTCGGGTTCGTTTCTCGGGAATCCAAACCCGAGTTACCCCGGGCCCGAGTTACCCCGGAAAACTCGGGCGTCCAGAGCCCCGAATCATCAGGGATCATTCGGGTCAGAGCTAATTCGGGTCCGTTTTCCGGGAATCCAAACCCGAGTTACCCCGGGCCCGAGTTACCTTGGATAGCCCAAACTTGTGCCCGGCGCCCCGCCTGCGTGCGGCCGACGACTATGTATGTGTGTGTGTGTGTGTGTTCTCCGCCCTGTCGCCGCGCGCAGGGCCGCGACGCCAAAAAGTGTATGGGTGTGTGTGTGTGTGTGTGTGTGTGTGTGTGTGTGCGTGTGTGTGTGTGTGTGCGTGTGTGTTTCTCCGCCTCGATGCTGCGCGCGAGGCCGTGACCGCCACAAAGTATATGTGTGTGACAGAGAGAGAGAGTGTGTGTACACGTGCATAACTTACGTGGTGTGTTCGTGCACGCTTGGCATGCAAGGACGGGGCGTGGCTTGCTGGTAATGCGGACCCACAATGTGTCAAAAGGACTCGTGCCCCTGGGAGCGCGGAGCCTCCGCATTTCGAGAGCGGTCGTGGTTGTGGGAGCGCAGTTCCTGGTTATCTTGCCCACGAGCGCCCAGCGCGGCAGCCAGCCCGCCTGGTGCCGCCCTGAGCTGCCCGATCGGCCCGTGCTCGAGCTCAATGGCGCGCTCGTCTTACTGAGTGAGGCGCTCGCTGTGGAGCGCTCGTTGTTCCTCCTCCCCCTCCCGCCTTCTCAATTCATCCCTCCTCCGTCCTCCCTCTTCGCGTCCTCCCTGGGTGCTCTAGCGCTACTCCTCTCCTGCGCCCCGAGGGGGGTTCTGGAAACGGCGCCGTGAGCAGACCAAGTGAGGCCTCGCCCTCCTGGGTGTTGCCGCTCGCGGAGCCGTCCCCGGCCTCCTGCGCCCCTGCGGGGTCCAGCGGGGCAGCTTCCCCATCGGACCAGACGAGAATTCCTCCTGGGGTGCTGGCGTGGGTGCTGCCGATACAGCGCGGCTGACCAGCTCGATGGCTAGAGGTGCTCAGAGGAGTTGGGAGCAGAGCAGATTCAGTCACAAGCCAAGATGGGCGCTCTGGTGTGAGTTGGGTCGGAATGTGAACTGTTGATGTCTGGTTGGAGTTGAGGCCAACAGCACATCAGTTGTCGTGACAGCGAAATAGACGGCTCATGAAACGACTCACGTTCATACTATGTTTGAGTATGAGGCCAGGTCGAAGTCTGGCGCAAGTTATCGTTGATTCTCAGACGGACTCCAAACGCGGAGGCTCACCAGAATGGTATCTATTAGGAGCGAGGCTTATCTATTAGCAATGGTTCCAACGTTACGCTCAAGACTACCGCCCAGGTCAAGCGTTATCAGGCGAACCGTGCATGCATCACCAGCTAGGCTACGACAAACGAAGCTGAGTAAACTTGAGTGTGAGCTGAACCAGGCTGGTCCTACCCAAAGCTAGGGGAGGCCTGAGATCGGATAAGCTGGGCTACGCTGACCTCGGCTGTGTAAGTCTGAGCCGAGCCCCTCAAAACCGCGGGGCGCCCCCGGAGCGCGGCCGCCGACCCGTGGAGATGCTTGTCCGTTGCTGGGGCCCACGAGCCAAATTCGTGCATGCAGTTATGATGCTCCAACCTACACTAGCCCTGATCACCAGAAAGGATTTCGAGCGCCCGAAAAAGTACCGAAACTCAAGGGTTTTCACGTGCCGGGCCCTGGGAGGCACTCGCCCGATACTGTCTCGGCACTGTTTCGACACTCTTTTGACAATTTTCCGGGTGCTCGAAATTATTTCTGGGATGTGGTCCTTGAGCAGGATGGGAACAGCATAAGCATGAAGGTAACATCACTCGGGGTTGGATAAACCTCCTACCCTGACACGTCGATTAGCGAATTGGCTGTTTTCGGTTCGCGGGAGGGCGTCGCGGCCGTCATTTTGCGGGTCCAGGTCCGTCGGTCTCGACCCCAGGCCGTTTTTCATTGAAGGGTGGTTTGCTAAAGAGAGGCTTGTCCACCCCCGAACATACTTACGCAGATTGATTTCTGGTGACATGTGTGTGTGTGTGTGTGTGTGTTTGTGTGTTTTTTAGCCTCAGCTGGTCAATCTAATTTGGGATGTGTGAGTTCGAGCTCCATGTCAGTCGGGCGTGTTTGCGCGCCAGCGTGCGCGTTTTGGCGCGCGCAGGTCTTTAGGTTTGCGCGCTCGTGTCCTGGCCTTCGCAAGGACTGAGGAGCATGCAAAGAGTTGTTTGTGGCCCTTCTCTGCAATGGCGATCACGAGCTTATCTGAAGGGCCGCCAGTCCCCCCAGATTGCTTGCGTGGCCGCTCTTGGTCGGCAGGTTGGTTGGTTTTCTTGTCGATTGACTGACTGGAAGTTCGGGTGATTGGCTTGTTGTTTAAATTGACGCGTGTCATTCGATTTGGGTTGCTTGCTGGTTGGCCGGTTGCGCGTGTCTGCCGAAATTAATGAGGGATGGAGCCCTCGGGAACGCGCTTCCATTTTAATGCTCGAGGGTTCACGGTTTCGGGAGCGCGCACCGCTAGCTATTTTCAAGGATTCGTGGCCTTTGGTCCAGAGCCAAATTCTCACGAAGCGACGGGGGGGGGTCGAAAAGCCCCCCCCCAACACATATCCCAGTACAGAATTGATTCAGTAGGGGAAACATGCACAGACACAAGTAATCGTCGGCTCCCAGGAAGATAGGGGAACATACGGGAAGTGGGGGGAAGACGAACACCCAGAAGATGGGGGACAAATTTTGGGGCCCTGCTATTTGTGTGTGTGTGCTTATCTGTGTGTCCCTGGGCCCCTTCAGTGACGGCTGTCTGCTACTGGAGCGGGCGGCAGCGCTCTCGAGGCGGCCCTCCGAGGGGCGGGTTCTCGAGGCCTCGGCGGCGCGAGCGTGCCCCCGGGAGCGCGGCGAATCTCGCAGTCTGCTGCGGCCTGTGGCCTCGGGGGCGCGAGCCCGTTCTGATTTGTAAGAGGGCGATGGGCCTGCTTTCCACCACCACCACCGTACGTTGGAGGGGGGAAGGAGGAGGAGGAGGAGCAGGAGGGGGAGGAGGAGGGGGAGGAGGAGGAGGAGGAGGAGGGGGAGGAGGGTGTTGCTTCGGGAGCGTGAGCGCGCCGCCGTTTACCACACAGTCTGGCCTCGGGAGCGCGACACATGTTGGCAACTTGCCAGGGTGTGTTGCCTCGGGAGCGCGAGCGCGCTGTAATTTGCAGGGGGGGGGCATCGGGAACACACGTGCGTTGGAATTGACAAGGGGCTGCGGTTCCGGGAGAGCGAACGCGTTGTAATTAATGTATGTATGCGAGGTCATGGCCTCGTGAGCGCGAACCGGTTGTAATTGTTGAGGGGGGGGTGGGGGGCGTGGGGATCGCCGGGGCGTCGTAATTTACCAGTGGGTGTGGCGTGGGGTTCGCCAGGGCGCTGCAATTTAGAATGAATTGTTGCCTCGGGAGAGCGAGCCTGTAGTAATCCCAGTGGCTTTGTGGCCTCGGGAGCATCAGCGCGGAGCAACACACAAAGGACTGACCTTGGGAGCGCCTATCTGCTACCAAACCTGCAAACACCGCGAGTTAGCGGTGTGGTAAAGGGGGTCTGTTCGGGCCTCCCTTGTGAGGACTTCAGCCATCACATCACCAGGACTAGAAGTTCTACAATCAAGAACTAGAACTTGAGAACTGGAGCTGATACAGGGTACTGGGCGGCTTAGTCCTCGCAGCCTGTGGGCCCCCAAGGAGGCCGGCGGATCATACGCTGTGAAAGGGGAGTTGTTTAGGCAGAGCGCATGCTGGAAAGCAAACAGCATGCCCTGCATTCGTTTCTTGTCGTGATTGAGAAGGTGGCGGCGAGCCAACGTACCTGCGCTCGATCATCGTTGCGGGTCGTTGCCCGAGTGTGATCCCTTCGCGTTGAATTATTTGTCCACAGGATCCACCCGTCTATCGCTTGCAGACTGTGATTTGTTTGAACGGTCAGCGCACTGAGGGTTTTGGGCCGTCTTGGGCTCTTTGAAGGCCATGCAGGGTCAACTTGGGGGGCGTTCGAGGCCATCTTGATCCGTGTCGGGACTCTCCGAAGCCTTTTTGAGGCCATCTCAGTCCGAGAACGCACAAGTAGCTGAAACTTGTGAACCAGTTTTGGTTTCCCAGGGTTTACTGGATGGCTCTCTGGACGTCCTCTTGGGGTTGTGCCTGAAAGGGCCTCTCTTGTATGCATATATGTATATGCGCAAACCACACATACACATAGCTATGGCTGTACATGTACACATGCTTATGTATACATGGACCTGTGTGCGTATGTGTGTGTGTGTGCTAGCCAGCGGGGACCCCAAACAGCAAGTTCTTGCGATGTGTGCAGTGTAATCTAGGTGGTGCATTCCATGTGGTGCTATATATACACATGAATATCGATATAAATATATATATGTGTATATCGTGCATGTCTAGCAATACAAAGCAATGCGAAGCAACGCACAGCCATGCATTTCAACGCACGGCAATGCAAACCAATGCAATGCAATGCAATGCAATGCACAGCAATGACAAGCAATCCAATGCAGTGCAA